GACTTCTCCCTCCCAAACTCGCCATCCGCCATCCTCAACATCTCCGCCTCAAACGCCAATCCTCGCCGTCGACCTCACAGCCCTGACTCGTCCTTGTCACTTCAACCCCTTCTTCCTTTTCCTTCCTCATGTGCTCCTCTATCTAAAGAGATTGGCGCATAGTGAGAGCAGCGGAAGCCTGAAGGAATAGGCGAAAGCAGATCCAACACCTCCTTGGCTCCTCCAGGCCCATGTATGTTCCAGTTGTTCCTTCTCGACGACATCAGAGGTTCATCGAAAATCATCACCAAACCACCCATTATGAATCTGCGCTTCGCAGTCGTCAAGGACCATTCAGCCTTCCCTCTTGCTGGTTGTAAGCTAACTGTCTCACTGAACCGACGTTGTCGGTTGCAGTTTTTGGCTAGGCTGATCTTCCTCAAGAGCTCACATTGACGGGAAGGTTTGACACCTCGATGTCGGCTCTTCACCACCTGGTGCTGTAGTATGTTCTAAGGGTTGGGTTGTTCGCCCATTAAAGCGGTACGTGAGCCGGCTTGATCAAATCAATCCTCCGCAATTTCAGAATCCCCTTGCCGAATGGTCTGTTCTCCTCGGGCAATCGCCTTTGCGGTGCAGTTAAACCATAACTGCATTGAGTATCACCCCTACAAACTTATATGAATCTGGTTGTATCACCACTCAGATCATTCCTCTTGCCAAACCTATATAAAGGTATAAACCGGTTTAAGTACTGACTCGATAAAAAGGACAAGCATGGAACAATCTAAGACCATCTTTAGTGTTGGGCCAAAATTCCAAAATTTTGGACCCAGAGCACTTTAATGGGGTTCCAAATAGCCAAATAATTGGATTTTAGCGGATTTCGGTTCCAAAAATGAACCACAAACAGACAAGTTGGTCCAAATTTCGCGGGACCACAAGGTGGGACGGAGGAGACACGCCGGGAGAGGAAGGTGAGCGCCACCCGAGCGCCACAGCAAATCCCTCCCTGATTGTGCCACACGCGCCTAGGATGCAGAGCTTCTGCAATCCGCCCCAGCCAATCCCTTTTAATTGACTCTTTCTTTAATTGCTTCATTCTTTGATTAAACTTCACAAATTAGAGATAAAAATAAATTAAACATTACATGTGTAATATTCAAGTCATTCCGATAATCCCACCAAAAGAAAAAAGTCATTCCGATAAAATATGTCATGTATATATGACAATTGTATTAGCTATTATGTTTTTATTATTGTTTAGGTCATATCTATATATAATTTTTTTGTCCGAATTCAAAAAAAAATTATCGGAATGTTCAATTTAATTAATTATTAATATCTATATAAAAATAATGAACAAATTTTGTAATTAGAATGGTGAAATCTACATTAAACTGAATTATGAATTAAAGTCGAATTCTAGTTTTTTTAACATTTGGAACTCTCCACCAATTCAAAATCACTTTTGAAGGGGCTAAAATTTGAATTCTAGCCCCAAATTTGGAAATTATGGATCTATGCACTAAAGTTGGTCTAAATTGACTTGGGGATTAAAAGTGAAATCACAAAACATTTTCAGTATGCAAAGGAAATTTGTCCAAATCCAAAACAAAGCCACGGGACGGGAGTTCCAACTCTCAAGTTTTAACTGCTTCGAAAATTTGGAAGCTGGAAGCTAAAGCATAATTCCCCAAATTCCTTCAACGCCGGCCGGCCCGACTGTAAATCGAAGGCCGAGAAATTCCCGCCATCGCCGTCCTTCTTCCATCAAGCGGCGCGTAAATTCTTTTTGATGGGGATGCAGTGGTTACTGGTCTGCCATGGTCTGATCACCCTGCTGGTTGTGATCTCGTTTCTCTGCGGTCAATGGCCAATCTTTCAGGGGACTTTCATCGAACGAATCCACTACTTCCTCACTTTCGGCGCTTACGATTACTTCCAGTACGCGCCTCCAACTTATATTATCTCGCAGTATTCCCTGCTCTTGTTCTGATGGGTTGATTTCCGTTTCTCGCAGGAGGCTTGTTGGGGCTGTGTTTGGGAGCAAAGGCACCAACTTCATCCTCTCCATCGAGTATTTCTGCTGCGATCGCCCTAATCCTATTCTTCAGGTGATTTGGTGGTCGATGATTTTGTGAAAAATGAAATGGTTGCTTTTGGTTTTCGGGTTTGGATGTTTGCATTCGGAAGTTGATTTGCATTGACCACGAGCTATTTGTTATGTTTATCAATGGAGTTGCAGTTTCTAGTAGTTGAGAAATTTTCGGAAAATCGACTCCCCTTCAAAATTTGCCCCTTTCGAAGTTAATTAGGGGGGCAGATCAAGTTGCGTGAGAAGAGGGTTGCCTTCTGAATCTATGCATACATAAGCTAGAACTAGGCCTTAATTTTTATGCGATGGTATTGAAGTATGCGAAAGTTTAGAGCTTATAAAAGGATTGAGGAGAATAACTAATTCGCACATGGAAGGCCAGTGCAGCAACTTGAACTCGGTATTAGGATAAACTAGTTCTCGTCAAGGTATCAAAATCTTTGATGACCGAAAGGTCATGTCTTCTAATCTTTATAAGTGTAAAACCCTCAATTTTAGCGGTTGATTCAAACATAAGATATAGTGGCCCTGTGCATTCTTGTCAAAGCAGGCTAGAATAATTCTTTTGTGAAGAACAGTATTGACTGCTTGTTCCTATTGAACATGTATTTGCCTCTGTTGTGTGTCATCTATCAAGATATATATTCCACTATTGCAATATGAAAGGATGTCTTATGCTAGACTTTGACGTCTTCTGCTGCAGATTTTGTATGTGGCAATAATTGGAGGAATTTATTACATGATTGCAAATTCGTGTTTTAGCTACATGCCTGGTTACTATCTAAGTGGAGCTCACAGGTACAAGCGTAGTCCTGAATATTTAGTTATGCAAAGTGCAAACTTATCCTCCAGCTATCATCCCGAGTCTGACTTGAATCGATCTTCTATTTTGGCATAGATATATAAGCTTGATGGGAGTTGTTGTTGGTATTCTGTTTTTCATTTTAACAAGCTTTTCTGATCCCGGGATAGTGAAGCCTGAAAACGTCTTGCAATATCTGAATGCATATCCTTATGACGAAGTCCTATACAAGGAGAAAGAATGTACCACATGTAAAATTCCAAAGTGAGTTTCTTTCCTGACTGCTGTATTATAGTATCTTTCTCTAATAGTTAAGAGTGCAATGAGTTGATGTGCCGTCATCCTGTTTTGCAGACCTGCTAGATCAAAGCACTGCAGCATATGCAACCGATGTGTTGCCCGGTTTGACCATCATTGTGGTTGGATGGTTCGTGTTCTATGACTGCATTTTTTCCTACTCTTGAGCTAGTTATTCATTTGGCAAAGTTTCTAAACTCCAACAATTTTCGGTTCTGCTTAAAGAGGTTTGTTGTTGCAGAATAACTGTATAGGGGAGAGAAATAACCGGTACTTCTTGGGTTTTCTTTTGTGGTGAGTTATCTATGCGAGCTTCACAAACGAAGTGTCCTTAAGCTCGTGCTTGTCATTCTTATCCATATGGTTCAGTTGAAAGGAACCATTAGCCTCTAGTAACTCATTCATCTGCAACTTCCATTGGCTTAGTCCATGGATTGCACATTGTTGGTTAGTTTCATATGTAGCTGCCTTTTTGTTTGCAGGCATTTGCTTTTGTGTCTTTATGGAAGTGTTGCTGTAGCGTTGGTTCTTGCAGGGCGATTGAAAGAACTGAGAGTTGTTTATATTTTAACTGGTAATAATAAAACCTGCAATAAAACTACATGTCTTGAAAGAGTATGCACTCTCCGAGTTTTAAGACATCATCTTTATCTCAAATTTTCAGTTTACTATGGAATCGAGAATACATTTCGCGATTTGGCTCCTCATGTTGTACAAGTATGTCTTGCGAATTCTGGTGTCATTGTTTCATTTCCTTGAGTTGCACATCTTCCATTCAATCCTCTGACAACACTATTCATTTGAGTTCTTGCAGTGGCTGTTGAGATCCTACAACACTCAAATACTTCTCATGATCTTTCTCGCCATAGTTTCTCTCTTATTAGCCGGATTCTTTGGCTACCATGTCAACCTTTGTCTCACCAACACCACAACAAATGAGGTATGATCTTGCCAACCTACATTAGTAGTAGTATAGACTAATTTTAATTTACTGCTTATACTTCGTTGTTTTAACAAATTTGTCTGTGTAGTAGAGTCTAACAAATAGATCCTTGTATTTGCATAGGGTTCTTGATCGCATTTATGTGTAATTGCAGACTTTCAAGTGGCAGGAGCACCTAACCTGGCAAAAGAAGCTAAATGAAGCTCGAGCAAGCGCTGCGGCACTGAAAGCAAGCATCAGCGACTTGCGCATGGAAGCAAAGCCTCCGGAAAGCAAATGGAAAGCCTTTTTCCGAAAATCCCCACTTGAAGATGCCGTGGAGGCCATTGCCAAGCAAAACACATACAACAAGGGATGGTTCAGCAATCTTGGTGAGGTCATCTTTCCTTTCTCATCAAGACCGTCGTTTTCTCAGACGAAAACAAAGGCTGGCTGAGTTATACACACAAGGAGAGCTCTGTTTCCCTGCCCCATTCCTCCGCTCATATGACCATCTGGAAATGGGAGAAATTGCAGCCTTGAAAGAAATGCATGAAGGAAGCTGTTGAGAGCCAGCCATGCAAACATTGCTTTGTTCATGGATTTTGTTCTTGGCCTTTGGCTATACAAGTTTTCGTTATAGGGGGAAAAAACACTTCTTTTAGATGTATAATGTATTCCAGCCGTTGCCATGCTGCCTAAATATCCTGTGTCGGAACTGGTAAGTAACATAGTTCTCATGCCTTTTATCATTTTCTTTCCAGATTACTCTGAATCGATTGAATTGTATCAAATAAAATTTGATTGAGTTTCAATTCTGGTTCCTTTTAAGAAAACCAAGGAAAAAAATGCTAACTGAGTTGCAACCAGGTCCACATCTTTTGCTCGACTCAGGACCAGACCTTGCTAGTTATGGTGTCAAGGCCTTTGACATCATGTATTTGAACTTGTTTAGTTGAAATTCTAACTAAATGAGAACAACCAAAGATATAAATCATATAGCCTTTGTAGAATAGGGATATGCTCATTAGTCATTCGTTCCCTTCGTTGCCAAGTATTTACTCAAAAATATTGCTGTTTGTTGAACAATAGGGATGGCAATGGGTCGGGGGCGGATAGTGCATATCCGTTACCCTACCCAAAGTACTTCGGGTTTTACCCATACCCATACCCACATGTGAAACGGGTAGAAAATCAAAACCATGCCCATACCCGTTCGGGTTTCGGGTATCCACGGTTATCCATGGATATTAATTTCTCTTCATAACTCCAACCAATATGTTAACATTCACACGTATTCTTATATTAAGTAAGAGAAAAAGTACGACAAGAATTCACTAGAATGAAGAAAATTAACTAAAACAACACAATTTCATGAAAATGTTATATTTATATGCTAAATATAAAATATGTTAGAGAAAAATAATGATTATTTCTAGACAAAATACATATGCATGTGTATAATCGGGCGGGTTCGGGTCGGATAGTGAGAAATCCATGCCCACCCATTACTCGCAATATTCGGGTTCGGGTTTTACCCGTACCCACTAAATGTCCTTCGGGTTCGGGTTTTACCCTACCCGACTAGGCCGGATTCGGGCGGATATCCACGGTTACGGATATTTTTGCCATCCCTATTGAACAACGCAGGTACTACTAGAAACAGATTCCTGCCGTATACCCAAACTCTCACTTACTAATATCAACACTTGGTCATGTTAAAGCTATGTTCCTTATCTATGGCTCGTCGGCAACGTCTGCAACTAGAATGACCCCTTCCTCTATCAAGCGAGCTGCGGCCGAGGGCCCGGTTTCATATCTCTAGCCCGTACATAGGTAAGGAACTGGCCTGGCAGTTCTTCCAGAAGAGCCTGAACAGCAGAGAGCCGCCCACCTAATCCACACCAAAATCAATAGTAAGCACCTAACTTAGCCCAGCAGCATTTCAAGCCAAAGATTCTAGATATGAAGTAAATGGAGCCTCTGGTAATGAGACTACTCACTGTGAACTTCTCGCATGGGAACGAATTGTACGATGTCTCTGGTAGCCACTCGCCCAGTGGAACTCTCTAGACGACGACCATTATCACCATCAAGGATCTGCAGAAACAAGCAAAAGATTACAAGTCGATAAGTAGGGTGCTAATGGTTCCGGTCAACCAAAATCAAAACCACTGTTTTGGTTTTGCTGAACCGAAATTCGAAATTTTGGGCTTGGTTTCACCAAAGACCAAAAATGAGTTTTCGACGGTAAGCTTTTTTCTGCATTCTCTACAACAAAGTTTATAAAGGGCATACTATACCTCCATCTGCGTGAAATCTGCATTTCCTACTCCAACAATGAGAATCGACAATGGAAGATCAGATGCTTTCACAATTGCATCCTTTGTTTCTTGGAAATCTGTTAGGACTCCGTCCTGTAAGAAAGGACAAACTGATTGATAAGTTCACGACCAAAGGCGAATTGAAGAAGTAAGAGCCTGAAAGTGGAGCTTACCGTGATGATAAGCAACACATAGTACTTCCGGTGGTCGTGTGAGAGTGATTGACCTGCAATTTGTGCAGCATTGTTGATCACCCGTCCAAACAATGTTGGTCCTGCGAGAGTAACATTGTGCAGAGCAGCTGTATATGCAGACATGATCCCTTCAACACCATTAACCTGTTCCAAAAGAAAAAGAGCGCCAATATGTTCTATGTTCTTTGACTAGGTTTACGAAGCAATATAGGATCATCTGAAGCAGACTGACTCAGACTAAGAAATTCACCTCAAAGCCAGTTGGACTTCCATTCAAGTTAAAACAATGTGATACTGCACCATCTGGTGTCCTCCCACCGAAACCCCAAGCAGGGAAATGCTTATCGGAATCATAGAATTGTATGACCTCCCCTACTTCCATTATGGCCTGCAAATAACAGGATTGAGTGAAGACTGATAAAAAAAGCAAGATTGAGATCAATACAGTTGAAAAAAAACTATTCACACTTCCGTTCCCAAGAGAAGTCAGGAGCAGCCACCTTTTGGTAAGAGTTCAAGCGGCCAAAGGGGTCGATGTAGTGTAAGGAATCTGATAGCCTTGGATCTCCATTTGAAGCTGAAACCAATCCGAAAAATAGAATCATGAATGGATGGGGAGAAACAAGAGAAGAACGCATAATGACTCCAGTAAGGGATCCTATTTATACCTGTGAAATCAACTGCAACCATGAAATTGAGCTCATAGCCACCTGAAATGTAATCCAGAAAACTGTGCTGTTCTTTTTCCAAAAAATTATCCACAAATAGCTGCCCCTTCAAAACCTTATCGGGACCGCGATGAGATGGCATTGTTAAATTGACACAGGCTTTCTCTCTGTGAAGGATTTCCAGGTCCGAGATAGATTTCTGGATCTTACTGAAGAACCATAGAACACATAAGACCGCATCAGAGAAAATGAAAGGAAACAAAAGGAAGACTGGAAGTTGACAAGTTTTCTAATACATACCCAATAAGGACATGATTTCCATTGCTGTTGAAATCGAGACATTCAATAACCAATGGATTGTCCTGCAACAAAAGTATCAATGGATCTCACTACAACAGGAAGCCTATAGCTGTTCATTCAAAGAAAAATCACTGTAGAGATTAGCAAATATAATTAATTACCTTGCTTCCGAGCTGCTGCATCGTAAGACACTGTGGTTTCCAGACGGGATTCAGATTGTTGTTAATAACCTCGGTCTTGCATATTGGTATTGAACCTCCGCTCTCTACTATTCTTGATATTCTCAAGAAAGGATCCTGCATAGAGAAAGGAAGATGAGTATAAGAAGAGAACTAATAATGCCAGAAACCAAGAGGAAGTAATTATAGCTTAATGGCAACTTAATCAATCATACACTTAGAGAAAACATGTCTTTGTTATCCAAGTGGGAGCAACGGAATGAAATATCAACTGCAGTCTTGGAAGCAACTGTTTCTTCAGCATGAATACTGACTGTGCCTAAGTTTCTGGATGTGTCATGCCCACTTCTGCTCTTGAGAGTTAAAGTTAATGTACGGTTTTGTCTGGTCACTATCTGCAGAAAATCAGGCAACAGATTATATAGGAGATCTGTAAGTCTGACTGGGATAAGAAAATCTTAGATGACTAAGAAGTAAAAAGCTCTGCAACAATATTGAATCAATGGAAACTTACCTCAGAGAGAAAGCAATTGGCTTCTCCTAAGAAGTCCTGATCGTTCAAATTCAGTGACTGCGACATGAGAAGATATTAGCATGGAAGCAAAAAGGAGGAAAATCAGAAGCTGCTTTAAGAATCGTATCTGTAGCGGGTACATATATAAAGGCAGGGTACATCAAAAATACCTTTACAGGTATGTTATGGTAACTGGTATCCACGTCGAATATGTGTATGCTGTGAAGATTGGAAGGAGCAGAAATGAGGAACAAGACAGTGGAAGACACTAGATCGAATCCAGAGAGTGGAAGAATGACTAGAAAACCACGGTCACTCGAATGAACAGGATAAGTTAAACTTACACTAGCGGTTGCAACATCTCAAACTGATAAGCAATCGTGACCTTCGAAATCCATGAAGGATTCAAGCTATTCAGGATGACTTCTGTACGACCAACTTCCTCCAATTTCCCATCACTTTTTCTGGCATACACAACAGCCATGGGGTCGCTCTGGAAGAAGAAGCACGGAGAAATCTCATTCAAGTTAGCAAAGACTTGGAATTATGAGCAAGCAGGAGCCAGTACAAGAAGTCAAGGTAACATAATGATTTCTGGATTAAAGAAAAGGCACCTTGGAGGTTATATCCCGATCGAGTAACTTCGACGCTGATAATGACAACTGCAGTGGCACATAAAAACTGCTCAAGTAAATATATCTAACAATAACACAGAGGTAGTATGCAAAATAAGCTCACCTAAATGAGTTTAGCAGAAGCTCTGGACATGCACAAATACGTGCAGACATGCACATGCAGGCAAAGCAGAGCAATAGCTACCACATTGACCTAGAGAAGACCCCAAATTCAGAGTCCACTTATATTAATCATGTTATATAGATGGTCCCTAATATATTGTTAATTGTTTAGCTCCTCTCCCGAAAAAACTTTAGAGCTAATAATACTTTAATTTCCACTGTTTCTGTCCTGTTCTGAGCTTAATCATCATCCACAACCTGGGAATCTTGGATTCCTTTTGTCGAGAGCTAGCAATAATCAAGGAGGATCAAGGTTAAAGGCAGGGGACAAAAACAAATTCTCACAAGTCGCGTCAACTTCACCAAAAAGTTCCCAAAAAAAAAAAACTAAGGGGCCCTCTTGTTTTGTCATATCAACGAAACAGGTACAAACTAATCCCTTTATATCAATGAACAAACCATCAACTTGCGTAGCAAAGAATTTGGAAGAACAAGCAGAGGTTCTTCTCAGCTGCAGTTCTTCCCTTGACAAAGGTTCGGTATTATCCTTCAATCTAATAAGGAACAAAACCCTTATGAACAGAAGGGTCCATGGTTTCCCAGAAGAGTTCAAACATGGCTTCCCCGAGATCTCAAATCTCGCATTCTCTGAACAGTTAAACACCATTCGAGAGGCAAAACCCATCAGATACCAAAGAAAAAGAGTATGTTTCTTCACCCCTGATTCCACGTTAAAGCTAGTTCTAGCCTTTCTCCCTGGCTTTTTCTATCCAGCCAAAAAAACTTGCTCCATTGTTGCAGAATGGTCTCAATCACCAACAGTTACCCCTCCCATGTTAGAACCCAAAACCTTGGTTTACTTGGGGCCAATCAATTTATTAACGAATACATGGGCTGATTTACCTCGATTTGGGAGAAAAGGGGATGGGCGCCACGAGCCCTAAAGAAGAAATCGACGGCGTCGTTATGGCCGCCGCCGCCGCCGTCGCGGGGGATCGGCGCCAAGTACGTTCCGCCAATCGCTTGCTTCCCGCCTTTCACATCGCCAGACATGCACCCTCCCATGGTTGCTTTTTCTTTTAATTTCTTTCTCAGGAAAAACCCTGATAAAAAAAACTTGACAGGCGACGAACAAGAAAGAGAGAGAGAGAGACAGAGAGAGAGAGAAGACGAAGCAATGCAATTCGTACGATTCCGATTCCTGATCACGCCGTGGATTATTCCCTTCCCGCCGGGTAGTTAAAGAATGCCGCGTTATGCGCCGGCGAGGTAGATTATCTACCAGTGTCGTCAGGAATTTCGATCTTGGAAACCTTAGAGTTGGAGCAGATATATAGTAGTGGCACGCGTAGGAAGAGGAAGAAGAAGAGGTGGTTGGATTTGAATTGAATTGATTCTTCTTCTTCTAATCTTTTCTCCTCGTGGCTGTGGAAATTTCCGGGTAGGTTAGGGAAATTTGCCAGAAATGGCATGACGTGGGAAGAGTCAATCAATAATATATATATATATATATATATATATGGGGAGTTCTACGGTACCCCGGGTGAAATCCGGGGTATCGCATACCTTGAGTAAGAAAACGCTATCCAGAACTTGAATTGACTGATCTTTCGGACATGAAACTATACTCTAACCCTTAAAGACCAAAATCTAGTTCTTAATTCTCTAAATCTTATATTCCAAGATCAATTTAATTAGAAACAATAATCGACGGTTATGATTCCTCCAAATATAGGCAAAAAAATTAATGCACCATCTTAGGGTTTATAGTTTAAGATTTAGATAATTAGCACCTAGGGTTCACTCAATAAGGGTTAGGGTATAGTATCATGCCCAAAAATCCTGCTAATTCGAGGTCTAGATAGCGTTTTCATACTCAAGGTATGCGGTACCCCGAATTTCACCCGAGGTACCGTAGAAGGCACCATATATATATATATATATATATTTCAATTGACTCTTTGTTGCTAGAAGTTATCGCAATTTTCCTTTTGGATTTCTTTTTGATTTCCCCGCCATAAAAAACATTTTATCCACACAACTTCATTTTGATTATTGAAACTTCATATTCACCATCAATAATCTCTTAGCTTCCTTTTCTCCAGCATTTCATTGAAAACCATTTTAATTGTAAAATGTTCGAAAATGTGAAACATTTTTTCACTATGCTAGAATTCACCTCATATGAATCAAATATTTCAACCATTCACTCTTTCCTACTATCACATCTATTTCTATATCAACCATCAATAATATCTTTCTTTATCACAATAACATCCTTATCTCCATCTCTGAAGTCACTACCTCTGATATTAGCATATTCTTCTTTCTTCTCGTACATTTCATTGATGCAAAAATCTAATGGCAATTTTTTTTGAATTATGAAAATTCCATTTTCAAGAACTGAAATTTAACATGTAGATGTCATGAACTTTGCGCGAGATTGCACTTCTTCATTCTTCATTATCTTCAAAACTGTGTACCAACTTATGGGGTTCGCGATGTTGTAATTTATGAGCTTCATACGAAAATTTAACTTCGTGCTCTGTTTGTATGAGATGAGGAGGTGAATCTTCTCTTATTTTGTCACTATCTTTGAGTAGTTTCTCAACAATCATTCCAAAAAGTCTAGCTCCCTCGTGATACAAAGTTAGATTGAACAAATATTGTCGATAGCTCACAGCTAATCCCGAATCTACAAAATAACAACAATTGAAATATATTATTCGGTTGAAAACTTTATATTTTAGTGGGTACGTTCTTTTCTCTCTAATGAATGAACTTGAAGTTAAAAACAATTAAAGAGTAGAGGTCAAGGTTATCAACCCGCGGGTCGACCCTGGTCCCGGTGGGGCTAGTGGGTCAAGGGTTAATGGATCACCCGTTTTAGCCCAAAAATATGGAAAAAGTCACTATATTGTACTTATCCTAATAAATTATATCAAGTCACATCTAACGTATAAGTTATAACATATAATATTCCACCAAAATAACATGTCGTACTTAGATCCAACATATAGTGAAAATTCACACACACTTATATAACATATATATTCAAATGTTCAACTTAGGATTTCAAAGATGGAGTTAGGCGAAAAGAAAAATCGAAAAATATGCGCATTTCACAAACCAAAGAAAAAATGGCACAATATGACCTCCAACCCGGTACCTTGTAGCGGCCAACCCGGCGAGTGCGTACGGCCCATTTTTTCACCGGGTCATGGTCAAAGTGGGTCGACCCGCGGGTTGACAACCTTGGTAGAGGTAGATCATTACCTAACTACTATTGTCTTTGGTGTTCTATAATTCTTATAAAATTAATTTTAAATTCAATCTTCGGTGTTGTATAATTCTTAGATATATTGTTCGTCCTAGTCTTCTTTAACTTTTCTTTGGCAAGTTACAATTAATATGATTTTCCTAACCTATTAAAAATCAGTGGAAACGAATGAGATATAGTCCGCTAATTTGCGAGAAATTAAAAGACCCTTAATAATAGCTCTTGAGATTTGAGCCAGCTGTAACTAAAGGAGGTTATGCACCAAAATTCCGGCCATTTTACTTGATTGTTTGAAGATCATATTGGAACACTATTTTGTCAAAAAGATGATTCTCCAAGTTGAATATATTTTAAATGCGTAGAATCAATAAATATAGTACTTAATAATTGTAAGAGTTGACTTACAAACTCAAAATAATGTTGAAGCAGTTATAACATAAAAAATAATATGTTATTGCCAAAGCAAGTTTTGATAAGAATTATCATCATACTAATATTTGTTCAAAACCAAGCAAGTTTTAAATCTCTCACTAATATTTGATTAAAACCAAGCAAAGTTATGAAGAAGAAAGAAAATGGAGTTGTCGTTTTCTACAATTTAAAGAAAAAAAAATACATAACAAACGTAGATCTAAGTTGGTATGAGAAAGAAATTATCTAGCTACTTCTTTTGAAACTTTAAACTTCTAGTCTCTAGATAAAGATTGTGATCTATATTTTATCACTATAAGAGAAAATCAATACCTAAAAGAAGAATTGAGAAATAAATTAATAATTAATTAAACAATCATTGATAATTACATTCATAAACCTCCTAACTCTTATCAATTCTCATTAACGCAAAGAACTTTTCTATTTTATATCTTATTTATGAAAAACCTCAAATCCAAATTTATAATTGAAAAGTATTTGATTTTTTTAGTTAATTAATTAAGAATTAGTTAATTAGCAAAGTCACATATATAAGAGTTTGCCTCAAACACTTAATCTTATAATAAAAGAAATTAAATAAATAAACTAAATATAATAAAAAAGATATTAATATAATAATTGGTGTATAAAAGTTTCCAACGACGTATTTTTCCATTAGTATAATTAATGAATGGTATTTATTAATTAAGATGACAAAAATATCCTTACTAAATTCACTCAGAAGGCTGTAAATTTTGAATTAAGCACCTTCTCAATTCTCATAGAGAAACTCTTTATATTAGTGCTAATGGAAACTTTACCTTACGTGAAACCCACATGTTTTGCAAATTGGAATTTGGATTAATATTTTTCTTTGCTTTAAAACCGTTATAATTTTAATTTGTGGATTTCTTTTAATGTGCTTAATGAGAAGATGGTCAAGTAATAAATTAAGCAAAAGCCTATGTAGATTGTACTCAAATAGGACACAAATATTCACACACAAAATAAAAAGGACACAAATATAGGAGGAAGCAAATTGAAGAACGGAACACTATTGCATTGCACTGCAGGGCAAAGAAATTATTGGTCCGAAATTACCAGAGAGACCTTCCTTAAATTACGCAGAAGCTAGCAATTTTTCAATTGTGTATGTTGATGTTCTGATGGGGAACGTGTATATAGGATTGGTAGGATAGGATAGGAGGTAGGATGACTTTTTAAAATTTTAGCCCTAAATTAACCAAATTGATGACTCTACCCCAATTCTCAAATTTGTCGCCCCCAATTCCCAAAATGCTCCATCACCATAATCCGGAATTGTGAATATCTGGTTCACGAAACAACTCTTCTCCACTTTTGTTGTTGCTCTGCCCATCGGTGTTGAGGAAGGAGCGAGAAGGTCGATCACCATTGAGGAAGGAGAGAGAAGGTCGGTCCCGAACCCTCTAGCTCTTCCCCCGTCGCCGCCATTCGCCCTCGAAGTTCTCGTTTGTCCCCGCCACAACTGCCTAGGGATTCTTCCTATGCCACCATCGCTCGCCATTGGGAAGATTGGAGTAGCTGAAGTGATCGAGGTCCTGGATAAAGTATCGGTTCGTCGTAAGAGTACTGCAGCATTTCCCGAGAAACAGTGGGGCTTGTCGGAATGACGGAAGTGCTGCGGCCGGCTATGACGGTTGAGATCGCTTAGATGTTGGAAAGACAACATATTCGAGGACCCGTCGACCATACCTGCAATCGTTTCTGCTGCTGCCGAGCGATGGTGAGGGGGAAGAAGGAACCGCGCTGCTGGGTGAAGTTGCAAGAATCAATTGGGTTGGGTCTATTCTGGTTGGACATTTAGATTTGATCTGGTTGGATATTTGGATATGGTCTGGTTGTACAATTAATATTATTGGTGATGACTATATATATATATGGGGAGTTCTACGGTACCCAAGGTGAAATCCGGGGTATCACATACCAGGAGTAAGAAAACGCTATCCAGAACTTGAATTGATTGATCTTTCGGACATGATACTATACTTTAACCCTTAAAGATCAAAGTATAGGTCTTAATTCTCTAAATCTTATACCCCAAGATCAATTTAATTAGAAACAATAATCGACGGTTAAGTTAGGGCATTAATTAGTACATCTTCTTTTTAAGTTAGTACATCTCCTTCAAAAAATTACATTCATACCACCCTTTCACAATGACCGCATCCCCCCATGGCGGTTAAAACGAGGACCGCAGGGGGTGTTGCGGTTTTCATTTTTTCAATCACCGCAGGGGCTAGCTGTGGTTCTCTAGCTGACCTAGATAAAACCGCATGACCCTCCTGCGATTCTCTGGCTGACTTATACACGGTTCTTTGGCTGACCTAGACAGACCACCGCAACCCCTAGTGGTTTAGTTTGCCAAAATAAAACTGTTGAGGGATCTTGCGGTTTACATGGTATCCATATCCCCCCTACAGCTAACATGTTTCCTGAAAACTGCCACACCCCCTAGCAGTTTTTAATCCCCAATTTTCCTGCAACAGGAAACACCCTTCACCCCAACTCTTCCCTCTTCACTACTTCCTCTCTTTCTTCCTCTAATTTATGTTCTTCTCCCAACTGTTTTATTGCGGATGGCCTGCCAAAAGTTCACGCTTTTGATATGGTGAAATGGTTACATGGAAGTAGGGGTGGGCA